TTTAAATTTTCTGAACACGCAGCCCAGATGGATAGTGAACACGCAGCCCACACTGTTTGAAAGTTGAACACGCAGCCCAAACTTTAAATTTTCTGAACACGCAGCCCAGATGGATAGTGAACACGCAGCCCACACTGTTTGAAAGTTGAACACGCAGCCCAAACTTTAAATTTTCTGAACACGCAGCCCAGATGGATAGTGAACACGCAGCCCACACTGTTTGAAAGTTGAACACGCAGCCCAAACTTTAAATTTTCTGAACACGCAGCCCAGATGGATAGTGAACACGCAGCCCACACTGTTTGAAAGTTGAACACGCAGCCCAAACTTTAAATTTTCTGAACACGCAGCCCAGATGGATAGTGAACACGCAGCCCACACTGTTTGAAAGTTGAACACGCAGCCCAAACTTTAAATTTTCTGAACACGCAGCCCAGATGGATAGTGAACACGCAGCCCACACTGTTTGAAAGTTGAACACGCAGCCCAAACTTTAAATTTTCTGAACACGCAGCCCAGATGGATAGTGAACACGCAGCCCACACTGTTTGAAAGTTGAACACGCAGCCCAAACTTTAAATTTTCTGAACACGCAGCCCAGATGGATAGTGAACACGCAGCCCACACTGTTTGAAAGTTGAACACGCAGCCCAAACTTTAAATTTTCTGAACACGCAGCCCAGATGGATAGTGAACACGCAGCCCACACTGTTTGAAAGTTGAACACGCAGCCCAAACTTTAAATTTTCTGAACACGCAGCCCAGATGGATAGTGAACACGCAGCCCACACTGTTTGAAAGTTGAACACGCAGCCCAAACTTTAAATTTTCTGAACACGCAGCCCAGATGGATAGTGAACACGCAGCCCACACTGTTTGAAAGTTGAACACGCAGCCCAAACTTTAAATTTTCTGAACACGCAGCCCAGATGGATAGTGAACACGCAGCCCACACTGTTTGAAAGTTGAACACGCAGCCCAAACTTTAAATTTTCTGAACACGCAGCCCAGATGGATAGTGAACACGCAGCCCACACTGTTTGAAAGTTGAACACGCAGCCCAAACTTTAAATTTTCTGAACACGCAGCCCAGATGATTAGTGAACACGCAGCTCACACTGATAGAAAGTTGAACACGCAGCCCAAACTTTAAATTTTCTGAACACGCAGCCCAGATAGAGAGTGAACACGCAGCCCACAATTTAACTGAAAGTTGAACACGCAGCCCAAACTGATTGAAAGTTGAACACGCAGCCCAAACTTTAAATTTTCTGAACACGCAGCCCAGATGATTAGTGAACACGCAGCCCACACTGATAGAAAGTTGAACACGCAGCCCAAACTTCAAATTTTCTGAACACGCAGCCCAGATAGATAGTGAACACGCAGCCAACAATTTAACTGAAAGTGGAACACGCAGCCCAAACTTCAAATTTTCTGAACACGCAGCCCAGATAGATAGTGAACACGCAGCCCACACTGATTGAAAGTTGAACACGCAGCCCAAACTTTAAATTTTCTGAACACGTAGCCCAGATGATTAGTGAACACGCAGCCCACACTGATAGAAAGTTGAACACGCAGCCCAAACTTTAAATTTTCTGAACACGCAGCCCAAATTAGAATTTGCATGTAGCTTGTTTCACTTCATCGCCATACAGCCCATTTCATTCCATTGGCACGCAGCCCAGTTCATCTCATTGGCACACAGCCCATTCATTTTATTGGTACACAGCCCATCCATCTCATTGGCACACAGCCCATTTCATCTCATTGGCACACAGCCCATTCATTTCATTGGCACACAGCCCACTTCATTTCATTGGCACACAGCCCATTCATTTCATTCTGACACATGTATTCATTCTGAATGCAGGCTGGTTCTCGGAGTGTGCGGGGGTACGGCTCCACCGCCGCGCGGGACTGGTATGCGGAGCTCCCGGAGGGTGTCCGCGTTCTAGTAGACTCGGCGGGGTTCGGGCCCTTCACACTGATAGAATTTTCATGTAGCTTATTTCGCTTCATCGGCATACAGCCCATTTCATCTCATTGGCACACAGCCCATTTCATTTCATTGGCACACAGCCCATTTCATTTCATTGGCACACAGCCCACTTCATTTCATTGGTACACAGCCCATTTCATTATTGACATATGTATTCATTCTGAATGCAGGTTGGTTCCCGCAGTGTGCGGGGGTATGGTTCCACCATCGCGCGGGACTGGTACGCCGAGCTCCCGGAGGCCGTCCGAGATTTGGTAGATTTGGCAGGATTCGGGCCCTTCTGCGTCGGGTTGTCACGTTGTCCTGCCAGGAGGACACTGATGGCAGCCTTGGTAGAGAGATGGTGGGACACCACCAACTCCTTTCATTTCTCTGCCACTGGAGACATGACCATGACGCCCCTAGACTTCGCTGTGTTGACTGGCTTAGACATAGGAGGTTGGTCCATCCCCTATGATGAGGATATGGGCGAGTGGGAGGCCGCTTGGATGTATCTATTGGGGGCTCGCCCGCCCGTTGATAGGGTGCCTGGGAGAGTCCGATACACTTGGTTCTCTTCCCACTTCCGGCGAGCGGAGATGGTGCTTGAGACTCCCGAGGAGACAGAGCATTATGCCCGTGGTTTCCTTATGTTCCTCTTCGGGACTACCCTGTTCGCCGACAGAGGGAACACAGTCGGGCTATACCTGCTGAGCGCTCTGGTTGACCTATCACAGGTCCATCGATATGACTGGGGTGGCGCCGGCCTGGCTACCCTTTACTTTTATATGAGCGCGACCTCCCGCGGGCGGGGCGATTTCCGCGGGCGGGGAGATTTACTTGGCGGTTATTGGAGAGCCTGGGAGGTACTTTTCTGTCCCCTTGATCTACATTTCTGCTCTTCATTACTTGTACATTGCACACACAGCGCACTTTACAGTCTGTATTTTGCCCTCAGCACTTTGTACTTGCATTCTGCACTGCTTTTCTCAGCTATGGGTCTATGTATACTTCCCGACATTAGGCCCACTGTTGGAGGTGGCAGGGCCTCCCATGACCCCATATTCACTGGTATTCGAGGGCCCGCACCGACCGAGACCCCGAGAGACTCTCATTTATCTGCGACAGTATTTTGACACTGTGCGCCCATCGGAGGTACTTCAGAACCCTCAGTTCTTCCAATTTTTATCTCTGATTTGCCCTGCACGTTCCTGATTTCTGATTCGTTTATTCACTTGTTATCCGCAGATCACATGGTAGCCCTAGGCGCCCCTGGGTGATGGTCTCCGATTTCAGTATACCGGAGGATCGGGCATCTCCCAGTATAGGGTCCTGCTCGAAGGGCCGGTTGGCAGGGCATGGTTTCTGGGGGAACGCTTTCTGCGCCAGGTATGGGGGTATCTTTCTCAGGATCCTCCCGCAGTACCCCCAGTCAGTATGCGGACTGCTGACAGGCTCTCTTACTCGGAGGTAGTCGGCGCCATGCTGGGTAGTGATGCTTTACTATATATTGAGGAGGGGGACTACGCCACTTACCGTCACATATACTTGATGCCTCCATTGACGGGAGCTCATATCCCGATGATGAGGTCTGCCGGTATGTCATCCTCGGGCCAGGCTCGGCGGTAGCTCCTTGTCCGAAAAGGTTAATGCCGGGGAACCTCCTCCCGGAAAAACCAGCCCAACCAGCTGTTCAGGCGTGGTGTCTATGGAGAGTTTGGACTTGTCCATAGCAGACAGGACAGCTTCCCTATGTACTCGTGATGCCATTAGCAGTCCCCAGATGGAGATGTCTGCTTGTATCTTTTTTAACTGTTTCAGCACAGCTTCCTCTTCAATCTGCTTCTCCTTCTGTTTCTCCGCTTCTCTATCCTTCCCGGATGCCTCGGGTTGGTCCAGGTGTGGGGGCTTGAAGTACCGCCCACTTCTTGTCATATGGTCAACCTCATCGAGGTACCAAGTGTCATCCGGTTGATTATTCCCCCAGTCTTCATCCGTGTGGGCAAGACATAAGTCATCGTCTTCCCACCACATTCCATCAGCAGCCAACAGACACCTGTTTGGCTCCGGTTTAGTTGCGCTCGCAGTATTCTCTGTCCATATGCTCGCAGCATCCTCCATTTTCGTGCACACAACACTTTCGGTCCCCTCAGGGCCTTTAGCTTTCCTAATTCTCTCAGCCTCCTCAAACTTTTCTTGTTCTAGCTGCATCAGTACAGCTGTTTGTTCAACATTTCTCGTATCCATAATGCCCATGTCTCGAGCGGAATTCTTAGCACCGGCGCTCTCCAGCGACACAACTTGACTTTCGGCCATTCCGGCCACAACTGATACTTCCACCCCTACCGGGCTCTGTTCTGGTTGGGCTTCCCCCACTGCATCTGGTTG